TCCGCGCCTTTGTGCGGGCTTTGGTCTTCCTGCGTGTCCAGGACGGTGCTTTCGGCTGCCCTTGTGCTGCCCTGGGGCTACGCGGGCGTGCGAGGCCGCCTCCGCCAGCCCGACCTGTACATCCCTGCCAGGGCTGTTTGGGGCTGGGCCTTGCAGGAGGACAGAGAATCCCCATCAAATGTTGCCTTCTTTGTTTTCAGGTCCACCACGATGTTGCAGGTACCACTGCCCCTGGATCGAGACGGGATCCTCTTCCGGCTCCGTTTTACCACGCTGGCCGTCGGGACTGTGTTTTGCCCGCTCTTTGGTTTCCTTTTCTGTGTGATCTGGTCTCTGCTGTTCCATTTCCAGGAGACGACAGCGACCCACTGCGGGGTAAGCAAAATGCCAAGTCCTCCAAGGCTGTGGCTGCTGGGCTGGGGCAGCCGGTGGGGTGGCAGGGGTCCCCTCTTCCACCAGGCTTTCCTGCCAGGTGTGTTATGGGATCTTGAACAAGCTGCTTTATTTTATGATACTTGTGGTGCCTTGGAACTGGCAACCGAGGATTCGGCTTTTTGAGACGGACCTGGGGAAGCACAGACTGGTCAGGCCGATGTCTGTACCGAGCACGTTGGTGGTGATTATAATCAGGGATAAATCTGGCAAAGCTATAGATAAATATAATGTCTTGTGGACGAGTTAGCCCAGCTTTTATAAAAGGAATTGCTGCCCCTCAGATGTGCCAGAGTTCTTCAGATGAGTCACAAGTGTGCGCCTGGGGAGCTCGGGCTGAGAGGGACCGCCTGGGTTTCCAACAGGGATGAGATCGGGTCCCTCCCCAGGGCTTTCAAGCAGCCATGGCACAAGCGTGGTTAAGCAGCCGGTTACAAGCTGGGAACAGCGGGCAGGAGTAGGTGGTGATTCTTACACCAGCAGGAGATGACCCCGGGATTGATGGGGGTCTGCGTTGCTCCTCCTGCCCGTATGCAGTGGGGTGACACAGGCAAGGGGGGTGACGGAGCAACGAGATGCCAGAGCAGTTTGATTTGGAGAAATAAGTAATGCACACAGCTGGTGTGTGGTCCTGCCCGCTCCTCCTGACTCAGATGTGTGGGGCAGGGCAGCAGGGACGCTCAGAGGTGTCAGCAGCTCCTGCTCCTGGCCTGGTGAAGCAAGGGCTCTTCAGCTGCAGACAGGGCTGAGAGCAGGGAGAGGTGAGCCAGAGGCCTCTGAGGTCGTGGCAGGGACCCGCTGCTCGCCCTCTGCCCGTATGAGGAGTAGGCGACGTCGTGTGGAGCTGGCAGGTTCAAGGCAACCACAAAGGATCTGGTTCCTCAAGCGGAGAGGAGCCGACCTGGGGAACTCCTCTCTGCAGGATGCTGGGGACCCACAGTTCTGCGTGGGCTCTGAGGGGACACTGAGCGGGATCATGGAGGAGTGGGTTACCTGGTGCATAGCAGTTGTGGCTGGCTTGGGAAGTCCCTGAACTGTGAAATTCTGGAGGTTGGGAGTTTATTCCAGGGGCTGCATCGATGGTTTTCCAGCTTTTATGTTCCTCCCTGATGTGCTAAGGCACATGGAGGCCAGGGAGGTGATTTGAGACAGCCAGCATGGCTTCACCAAGGGCAAGTCCTGCTTGACCAACCGAGTGGCTTTCTATGATGGAGTGATGGCATCAGTGGACAAGGGAAAACCAACGGAACTCATCTACCTGGACTTCTGCAAAGCCTTCGGCACGGTCCCCCACAACATCCTTCTCTCTAAAATGGGGAGCTGTGGATTTGATGGGTGGACTGTTGGGTGGATAAGGAACTGGTTGGATGGTCGCATCCAGAGGGTAGTGCTCAACGGCTCGATGTCCAGATGGAGACTGGTGACAAGTGGTGTCCCTCAGGGGCCCGCACTGGGACCGGTGCTGTTTAGTATCTTCATCAGTGACATAGACAGCGAGGTCGAGCGCACCCTCAGCCAGTTGCAGATGACCCTGAGCTGGGGGGTGCGGTTGACACGCCAGAAGGACGGGATGGCATCCAGAGGGAGTGGGACAAGCTGGGGAGGTGGGGGTGTGTGAACCTCGTGGGGTTCAACAAGGCCAAGGTCAAGGTCCTGCCCCTGGGTGGGGGCAACCCCCGGTACCCACACAGGCTGGGGGTGAAGGGATGGAGAGCAGTCCTGCCCAGAGGGGCCTGGGGGTACCGGGCCCTTGATCCCAACGTTTGACAGCGTTGCAGAGGGGTAATGCAAGAAAGCGACTGCTGAGCATGCACAGTCCATTCAAATACCCCCTTCATCTTCCGAGGAGCGGATGTGCTGGGATTCCTTTTTGCGCGACTCATAAAGTGAATACATTCTACAGGATGGGCTCCAAGAGGGATGTTGGTGAGGGTTATGGGTGGCCACCCATATTTTGGGAAGGCTGATTTGACGGTGACAATGTTGTTAGCAGGGCCTGTAGCGACAGGACAAGGGGGGATGGATTTAAACTGAAGGAGGGGGGATCCAGGCTGGGCATGAGGAAGAAATTCTTTACCCTGAGGGCGGTGAGACCCTGGCCCAGGTTGCCCAGAGCGGTGGTGGCTGCCCCATCCCTGGCCACATCCCAGGCCAGGTTGGACGGGGCTGTGAGCAACCTGATGTGGTTGGAGATGTCCCTGCCCATGGCAGGGGTTGGGCTGGATGAGCTTTGACGGCCCCTGCCCACCCAAACCCTTCCGTGATTCTCCTGTCTTGGCCTGCTGTTGCTGTCATTAGGCTTGGGCTAACAAAACCGTGCACCCTCCTCTACTCTCTCCCCAAACTTGGGGGCAGGGAATAGGTGTGGGACCATGACTGGGCAAAAGGAAGGAATAAAGGGCAAAAGTACAAAGCTAAGAAACCTGAGCGGGACCCTGAGCAGGGCACCCCAGCACCCGTGGACTGTCCCCGGCAGGGCTGGGGGCTGCATGGTCCTGGGGGATGAACCAGGGTTGCCACCACGTTCTGTTCCCAGGCTTCTGAAATAGGAATAAACTGATTTAGAAAAAAAAAAACCCAACAAAAACCCAACAGTTTTTGTGTGGTGGAGAGCTATAAATAGGACAGCATGACCCCACTCCCTATGCCTCTCCGCATGAGCCGCTGCCTCTCTTCCAGGTCCCCAACTACCTCCCCTCCATCAGCGCCGCTATCGGAGGCGAGACCCCCCAGCGTTACGTCTGGCGCCTCTGCATCGGCCTCCACTCCGCTCCCCGCTTCCTGGTGGCGGTTGCCTACTGGAACCACTACCAGAGCTGCCACTGCTCGCACCCCCGCTACCCGCGCTTGTGCCACTTCAACCTGCTGCTCAACCTGCTGGAAAACTTCGCCCTCCTCATTCTGACGTACGTGTCCTCATCTGAAAACTATGGTAGGTGTCTCCTCCCGCGCCCTGTGCTGACCGTCGTGCCGGTGCTCTCGCTCGCGGCTGCCGAGGCTTTGCAGAGCTCTGCTTCACGCCGCTGTTCTGGAAGCAGTCGGTTTGGAGGGAAAAACCAGTAAAAATAAGGAGGCTCTGTTAAAAATAAAGAGGCTCTATTAAAATTAGTGTTCGTAGAGCAACGTTTTGTCCACAGTGTGCAAATGGACGTGTTCTTCCCAAAAGGGAAGACTGGTTGCTCGCCGTGGCTGAGCAAAGGCAGCTTAGTGCTCGTCCCTGCTGCCCCCCCCGCCTCCACTGCGGCGCTTTGGCTTCGGCTCCGAGCTGGCTTCCAGCCCGCGCTCTGTTCCGGCTGCGTTTTACGTACCCGCCTACAAAATTTTCAGGGTAAAATTTCCTGTGTCAGCCTGAAAAACAAACTCGGGACTTTTTCAGGTTAAATCAGAGTGTGCAAAATACGGTTGCGACAGGCTGGGAGGTGCCCTTCTCCCACACGGTCTGATCTGAGATGAATTTAGGTGCCTGTGATGATATCCAGCCCCTGTTTAATCCCGAGATCCGGAGGAGGCAGCGGGGATGGAGTTGAGAGGACTCAAACCCGCCAGCCAGCAAGGTGGTGCTGTTGCAGAGGAAACAAACCCCGTTCCAGGACTTGTCAGCGGGAGAGTGGTGTGTCCCTGTCCCTGCGCGCAGTTTGAGGGCGATGATGAGGGATATCGCGTCCGGCGCTGGAGGATGTAGTCCCAAAGCCTCGCAAAGAGAGAGGCCAGGACAGAGCTCTGGGAAGAGAGGGTTTGGAGCGGTGCTGGTGAGGGGAGGCTGGCAGAAGAGGGTTTGTCTCCTTGCAGCCGGGGAGATGAGATGGGGGACAGGGATGCAGCTGATTTTGTGCCGAGAGTGTCTTCCTACTCGCCATGGGTGAGGAAAACAAGCTCCCGAAAGGCAGTGGGGGTCGGGAAGCCTTGCGACTGCTTAGGGCAGCAAACTGGAAACGGGCCATGGCCACCAGGCCCCTCCAGGACAGCTGGGAACATGCCTGCGGGGTTGGGGGTCCAGCCCCCGTGCAGAGGAGGGGGTGGGTGGTTCCTGAGGCGCCCTCCAGCCCGCTGCTGCCGTCGGTGTCGCGCTGGAAGCGCAGAGCACTGCAGGCGCTGTGCTGATGCCCTGTCAGAGCGGGTGTTTGGGGACATTGCCCCGCGCTCACCGAAGCAGCAGGCTGGCCGGGTAGAACAGGAGAGCCCCGGCAGCTCTCCGCGCACGCTGCTCGCTTTGCCGCTCGCAGATGCCTCTGTCTTTCGCAGCGTGGTGGTTGTTGCCTTTCTGCTCGTTGCTCAGGAATCACAGAATCACGGAATCCCAGGTCGGAAGGGACCTCGGGGATCATCTGGCCCAACCTTTCCAGGCAAGAGCACAGCCTAGACAACACGGCCACTGCCAGAGCAGGCCATAGAATTCTAGAATCATAGAATCGCTTTGGTTGGAAAAGACCTTTTAAGATCATCAAGTCCAACCCCCATGCCAGGGCCCGTTGCTGGCATGCTGGCTGTCAGTCTGATGAAGCTTCCCACTGTTCGGGTGCTCACTGGCTTCCACTGGTCCACCAATAAGCCTGGTGGCTTTAGGGCTGCGGTGTCATGAGTAGAGTCCAAGGACCAACCCAGGCTCTAGGGTGAGGATGGAGATCCTCCAAAACGTGCTGTTTCGTCTGAACCCCCAGACCATGCCAGGGGTTAAACAGACCCTTCCCCACGTCCTGTTTTGTGAGCCTCATGGAACCGTGTGCTCTTCAGGGGGGGGAGCACAGCGTATGGTAACCCCGATCTGTGGGGTGGGGGCAGGTTTGGAAACCACAGCTCTGTGTGCTCCGAGTTTGGTGAGCTGGGATGTCTGGATGTGGACCTCCAGCTGATGGAGCTCTGTGGTCTAGGGGTGTTCCTGTCCAGCTCGCCGTCCCTGTCTCCTGCCAGCATTCCCTGTCCCCCCCAGCGAGGCCACCCCACCTGCCTCTGCCGCTGTCCCCAGCTGCCCCCACCACGGCAGGGGACTGCCTCAGGACTGGGAGCGTGCCCTTAGAAATTCAGATGTTCCTTTGGGGCTTGGATACCTCAGAGCTCATTGCCACCCAAATGGCTCTGCCTGTGCCTCGGTTTGTGGCTGATGGCCCTGCCCGCACAGAGAGCTGAGGCTAACCCAGTTTTCTCAGATCCTTATTACAGACTGATCTCAGGTTTGTGGGGAAAGCTTCAGAGCTTCGCAGCCCTGCTGAGATGAGAACGGGCTCGGGTTAATCATCTCCTCAGGGCACTGCGCACGTCTTCGCCTTGAGCAGCTGCCTTTACCACTGCTCCTCACGAGGTTTCCCTTCCTCTGGAACCGAGAGGGGAAGCAGGGAAGATCACTTCTTGCGTTCAGGTGGTTGAGAATTCGGCCTGTGGTTCAGTTCCTGGAGAAGAGTCTGGGAAACTCTTTTAAATAGAAGTGCTCATCTGAAAATAACTCGCCTGAAGTTGCATGGGCTTTGTGCGTGGCCTTGGGGTTTCGTGAGCCGCTCTGGCTTAGGGTCGCTCCAGACGCATTTCCAGCCTGACCCTAAATCTGTGCTAGTGCAGCGACACACGAGACTGCCTCGGTGCTGGTGATGGGGCTGATGACAGCTGCTAATTGGCAGGTGGATAACGCAGGCGGCCAGAAGATGGCCCTTTCTGGATCTTGGACTGTCTCACTCTGCAACCCCCCCCCCTCCGTGCCTCAGTTTCCCCATCCCCACGGCAATAGCCGTGATGCTGAGCTGGTCTCCGGGGTGCCCGAGGCTTACAGCCGTCTGAAGCGATGGAGGCTGAGGCCGGGTGCCAGAGCACATAAACACCCTCCTGGCACCTTTGGAATAAGTCTTCCAGCAACTCCCATCCCCCTCCAGCCCTGGGCTCGCAGGGGGCCACGCGTGAGCAGCTTTGTCAGTCAATGCCCCTTCCCCTTCTCGGCGTGGGAGCAGGGGGTGCGGAGCCGCGCTGCGCCTGGCTCCCGCAAAGACCCTGGTCCCCGGACCGCTGCTCGTGCCGGGGGCGCAGCATCTCCCGGGTGCTGGGACACCCAGCAGGACCCCATCCTGCAGAAAGCAGCCCCCCGCCCTCCCAAACCCTGCCCTGCGTTCCCCTTGTGCTCTTGGCTCAGATCTAACAGGAAACCTGTTGTCTTGTTGATTCAGCAATCCACGAAAATGCCTTCATCGTCTTTATCACGTCGGCTCTGGGCCACATGCTCCTGACATGCGTCCTCTGGAGAATGACTAAGAAACACACAGTAAGTCCCGAGGTACAGAAACTTTTCCTTTCTTCTCTCTGTGCAGTGCTGGGTGATGGGGAGGGGGCTCTGGGCTGGCGGTGGAGGGCTTTGGCTGTTGCTCGCTTGTGAAATAACCGTAACTGGCTGCTAAAGGCGTTAACACCGCCAGGTGAAATGGGGAAACGTGGTCACCAAAATTCATGGTTTACCAAAGCAACGTGGGGAGGAATCTTCTAATTTCCTATTTTCTGGTTTTCACTTAGAGCTGAGGTTTGAAAACCACAGCGGTGGTGTCCCTGTGGGTCGGGTTGCTGACCCCTCCTCCTTGCCTGAGGATGCCCCATTGCTGAGGCGAAATGGGCTTCTCTGTGCTGGGGAACTGGGAGCCCGCTGGTCCTGCAAACTGGGCACAGCAGCGGGTGTTGCGTTATCCCTTTCCTCCAGGAACCCCTGCGCTGAGAGCCTGGCTGTGGCGGGAGTGCTGGACCATGGGCACCGGCAGCGCCGCAGATGGGCAGGGCTGGACATTCAGCTTCCAAACTCCGTTTGTGAAAGCTGCTTCCACGCGCGTGTGCCTCTTGTACGCTCGGCGGTGCCGGGGTCTCTGGGCTCCCTGGACCTCTCGGTCCTTTTCTCCTCGGGGATGTGTCTCGCCCAGCTGATCCCCAGTCCAACCCTCACAAGTCCCCGGTACTAAATGGGGAGGGGTCCCCGGGGCTGCCTGGACTCTGTTGCTCCAGGAAGGTGATCGCTTTGCAAAGCGGAGACCTTTAGGGGAAACTGTCGGAGGCGTCTGCCCTTATCCCAGGGCCGGGAAGCTGGCGAGGGCTGGGAGCAAGTCTCTCCGAAGGGACTGCACGCAGGGGTACAGGGCAGGGTGGGTGCTGTGCTCGGGGTCTGCCCGGGCAGTTACAGAGAGTGCCTTGCTAAGGCTCCTGCTCCGTCACGTCTGTTTATTGTCCCCTTCCGGCAATTCAGCGAGCCTGTCCCCTTGCTGGCTTATTTCGGAGACCTGGAACAGAAGCTTCCCGCAGCTTGGCTGCAAGGTGCCCTGTGGAAGGGGCTTTTGGAGATCCTGGGGTTCCCCTCTCTCTGGGAAGCGATCTGTTATCCCTGGTGATGCGGGGATGCCGGCAGCTCAGCAGTCACTCCTTGGCAACTCTCCTGCCTTTCTTTATTTCATCTTTTTTGGCTTGGCTTGGTTTTTTGGCAAAAACTCCAAACCCCTGCATCTCTCTCTCATCCAGAGAGACCTGGCCAGGCTGGAGAGGTGGGGTCATGTGAACCTCATGAGGTTCAACAAGGCCACGTGCAAGGTCCTGCCCCTGGGTGGGGCAACCCCCGGTACCCACACAGGCTGGGGGTGAAGGGATGGAGAGCAGCCCTGCCCAGAGGGGCTTGGGGGTGCTGGTGGATGAAAAGCTGGACATGAGCTGGCCATGGGCGCGGGCTACCCAGAAGGGCAACCCTACATTGGG